ATATCGGATGTCAGTTGTGAGGGGTCAATGGCATGAACGTTGAATCCATCCAAATATAAAATGAAACCGTATGAAGGTACTACTATTCTCTATTATTCTTTTTTTTTTTTGCTTAGGTCATAACTATAAATCAGTGTTCTGAAAAGCGTTCTAGGCGTTCGCCTAGTCGGCGCTTAGGCGCTAGACCCCTATAGACCGTGGCGATTATCGCTTTTGCCGCCTAAAATATTATGGTATTATAATAATAAAATAATATAAATTTGTNCGTATATAAATCGTAAAATGTTATATATATATTTAACTATAAAATGATGAATATAAATATAATATAAATTTTGTTAGTTGTAAATTATGGGTTTTTATATATTTTATCATATATATATATATAATATATTATGCATTTTGTAAAACACTTAGACCGCCTATTAAATCGCATAGGCTCCGATTAGGCGTTCTAGGCACTAGGCATTGGGTCACCGCCCGCTTAGCGCCTAGCACTTTCTTGAACATTGCTATAATTTGAATCGATTTTTTTATGACTGTTTATGATTTTGAGTTATGATTTTTTCATAGTTTTGATATTTTTCTACACAATCCCCTTTCGCTTACAACATGTGACTTAGANGCCTGTATTTTTCTCAGTCCAATTTAAAAACTGAAAACCCGTTACTTCCACATTATNAACAAAAGAAAACATTTAGAGTCTATGTGGCTGCGGCACATCATCCTGTCCAAGTGATACTAAAAAAAGAAGAATTTGGCTCTCTTTTAGAATTATAATGGTTGACTTTGTGCTTTCCTCATCTAAATTAGAACTCATGTTTTGTGACTCATAAGAGAAAAATGTGGCTCAACTTTGAAACCTACTAATGACATAGTTAGATAATAGTACATACATTAGACCTTTGACCATGAACGATTTCAAGGTCACATGTTTCACATTTGGTCAAAAATTTGTGATTTAATAGAATATTTTTAACTATGTTTAGGNGCGACTATGTCGTATGATTTATCGAACATGAATGAGCACCAACAATGGAACAAGTTTTATGGAGAAAGTAGGGCTGAGGAGTGAGGAAGAAGACATCACTTCATNTAAAGAAAAAAGAGAGATTTTGAATTTGCTTACTTAATCCAATATATAAATTTTCCTTTGTCGTGACAAAAAAAAAATTTTTCCTTTGATCTTTGAATAAAATATTTTGTTTCGAGTCCCTTTAATTATTTTCTTTTTCAAAAAAANAATCTCAAAAACTCAGAAATATCGGGTGTACAATATATGTATATAAGGTTAAAGTTTTTAGTGCTATTATTTTTATTTATTTTATCTATAAATCTTTTCGTTTCCTATGTTTAAATATCATTGATATATTCTTAAAAAAACTATAGAGCCAAAAAAGAAGGTCAGTAACTCGACAACAAATCATAGCTTTTAATCAGATCTCTGGTAATGTTTTTAATGTTTGGTATGATTATGCATAAGACTCAATAAAATCATGAAAATTTTGATGAAAGGAAAGCATAAACAAAGAATGATCTTAGTGTTGGTATATGCTTTTTTGTTCACACATTTTTTTTATAAATCCAATAAAGGAAGAGCTAGAGGAAGAGCTAAAGGAGATATAGTGTTAGTATGTGACATTATTCTATAAATAGTTACAAAAGACGAGAAAAAGAGAATGACTATATTTGCGGAAGAGATATATGAAAGAGTAGAAGGACAAAAGAATTAGGTGCAAAATTTAATAGAAAAAAGAAAACAACGAGATACTCTCTAAGAGGTTTCCTAATGTAAAGTTATATTTATATGAGATAGTTACAAAAGACGAGAACAAGAGAAAGACGATCTCTGGGGGAGAGATATATGGAAGAGTAGAATGACACAAGAGTTAGGCGCGCAAAACTTAATAGAAAAAGAAAAAAACAAGATACTTTCTTAGAGGTTTCCTAATGCAAAGTTATAATTAGAAAGAGATAGTTACAAAAGACGAGAAAAAAAAAGAAGATCTCTGGGGAGAGATATATGGAAGAGTAGAAGGACACAAGAGTTAGGCGCAAAATTTAATAGAAAAATAAAACAACGAGATACTCCCTTGGAAGTTTCCTAATGCAAAGCTATATTTAGAAAGAGAATTTCGACCCCACTATGCCTAAGAATTATATCCCTCTTCTCATCAATTACAAGAATATTGGACATGTATCCGACGTGGTCTCAAACATAATCCGCCCTAACTTCTCGAATCAATATATTCACCACTGGTAGTCTAAATTGGATGTCAAAATCTTCAATTACTAATTATACGTAAGGGCTGGGATGTGACATGGGTAAAGACTAGGATATGACACGGGTAAGGACTAG